TGAGTAGGGGCCCAGAAGCGGAGAGGAAGGAGGGAAGGGCGAAGGCAGCCAGGCGGGGAGGAAACCGGGGAGGAGGAAAGCGGGACAAGGAAGCGGGACCAAAAAGGGGACCGGAGCCCCAGCAAGCCCGGAAGGAGGGCGGGACGGGACGAGGAGGCAAGGGGGGGGGACGAGGCGAACAGAGGCAGAGCACAAAGCAAGCCCGCAAGGAGGGCGAGACCCCCGGGGCACCGAGGACGGGGGCAGAAGGAACAGGGCCCGAGCGGCGGGAGGGGAGGGGCGCAGGCGAGGGAGAGCACCACCACAACGGACCGCGAAAAGGCGAGCAAAGAAACCGCCGGCGAGGGAGGAAAGACCGAAAGCCCAGGAGAGGAGACAAGACAGGAAGGGGGACGGGGACGGCAGGCCGAAGGAAGAGGGGGGCGCGGCAGGAGGGGGAGGAGAGAGACGACGCCGGAGCGGGGGGGAAGGCCAAGAAAGGGCAGAAAAGAAAAACAGCGGCAGAGGGAAAACCAGGGACGAGGGAGAGGGAACGGGAAGGGCAAAAGAGAAGCGAGGGGCGAGGGGAGCAAAGAAGCGGCCAAAAAGACCGAGGAGCAGAAGGAGCAGAAAAGAAGGGACGAGGGCCGAGAGCCGGGGACCAAACAGAGCGAGCGAGACGCCGGGACACCGATGAAGGAGCAGGATCGAGCGGGGAAAGAGAGAGGGAGCAGAAGACGAGAGCGAGGAAAGAAAGAGGGGCACGCGGGAAAGAGCGGGAAGAAGGAGGGCCGGCAGACGGGCGGCCAGAGGACGAAAAACCCGGGGAAGAGGAGAGGGGCACCAAACAAACGGAAGACGAGGGAGGCGGAACGACCAGAGCAAAAGAGCGGGGGGAAAGGGGGAGAAGCGGGGGGGGGAGAAAGGGCCAGGACGGGGACAAAGAGGGGAGGGGGACAAAAAGGGGAGAGGGGGCGACAACACAAGGGCCAGGACAAAGGGCGCGGGAGAGGAGAAGCGGGAGCCAGAGGGAGGCACCAGAAGGGCCAGGACGAGGGAAGAGAGAAAGGAGCAAGGAAGGCAGAGCGCGACGCGCGAAAAGGAAGAAAGGCGCGGGAGAACAAGACACCAGGGAGCGGGAACCCGGAAGGGGACAAAGGGGGGGGGCAGGAAAGAGAAAGAAGAAGAACAGGGAGAGGAGAGGAAGCGAGGGGGGAGCCGAGGGGGGCACGCAGAGACCCGGAAGGGAGGGGAAGCAAAGAGACGCGCCCACGGGAAAGGGCAGGAAGGGCCGCGACAGAAGACAAGGGGCAGAAGAAGAAAGGGAGAGAGGCAGGGAAAGGGAGCGGGAGAAAGCCCGGAGGGAGGCAGAAGGCGCGAAAGGAGGAGGGAAGGAGGAGGAGGGGCAGGAGGGACGCGGGAAAGGGGGGCGAAGGGAGGGAAGAGCCGCAGGGAAGGAAGAAGAGGGACCAGGGGGGGCGCGAGAAAGGGGGAGAAGGAACGGAGGGAGGAGGGAGGAGCGCAGGCAAGAGGGAGGGGGAAACAGCAAGGAAAGAGAGAAAGAGCGGGAGAAGGGCAGGGCAGGGGAAAGACGGAGACGGGGGAAAGAAAAAGCGGGGGAAAGCGAGAAGGAGGAGCGCGACGGGAAGAGCGAGGGGGGCGGGGAAGGGGGGGGAGAGACACCAGGCAGCCGACAGCGAAAAGGGGGGGCACAGGGCGAGAGGCAGAGAAGGGGCAGGGGGGAGCAAACGAAAGGGGGCCGAAGAAGCGCGGGAAGCAGAGAAGGAACCGGGGGGACGCGAAGGCCCGGACGGCAGGAGCGGGGGAGCACCAGGAGAGAACCAGAAGGGCCAGAAGCGCAACAGAGGGGCGAGGAAAGGGCGAGCAAAAGCGAGGGCGCCCCCGACAAAGGAAGGACGGGAAGAAGGAGGAACAGAGCCGCCGGGAGCGGCGAGAGACAAAGACAGGACAGGGAGGGAAGAAACCAGGAGACGGGGGAAGAGGCGACGGGGGGACGGGCGGGGGGGGGAGCCCCGCAAGGCCAAGGCCAAACGGGGGAGACAAGGAAGGGCCCGAAAGGGCAAAAGGAGGACAAGAACACGGGGGGGCACAAAGGGGAGAGGAGCGCGAGAAGAGCCAGAAGAGGAGGGGACACGACGCGAGGGACAAGCCAGAAGAGGGGGCCAAGCCAGCGCGGCAAAGGGGAAAGAGAGGGAGAACGGGAAGAGGGGGAGCGGCAGGGGGAGACGGGAAGAGACTCAGGGACGCGAAGCAAGGCGGAAGAGGGAACGGAAAAGCGGAAGAGGAAGGCAGAAAAGACGAACAGGGCGCCACGAGGGCAACACAACGGGAAGGACAGGGACGGGAAGCAAGCCGGAAGAGGGAACGGAAAAGCCGGAAGAGGAAGGCAGAAAAGACGAACAAGGCGCACGAGGGGCAACGCAGAAGACAGAAAGAGCAGGGACGCGGGGCCGCACGAGGGGGGCGCCCAGGGGGGGGGCGAGGGGGGGGGAACGAGGCCGGAGGAGGAGAGAGGAAGGACAAGGAGGAAAAGGGGCAAAAGAAGGGCGGAAGGACAAACCCCAAAAGCCGGAAGAGGAGGCGGGGGGCGCCGGAAGGGGAGGGGGGACGCGGGGGCCCGGAACGAAGGGGCCCACAGGGGGGCGGAAGGGAAGGGGGAAGGAGGCGACCCAAGACAAGAGAGGGGGGGACAGAGAGCAGGGACGCGGGGCGGCAACGAGGGGGGGCACGGGGGGGGCGAGGGAAGGGGGAAGGAGGCAGGAAGAGAGGGGCGGAGGGACGCGGGCGGGGGAGGGGGGGCCCACACGGGGGGCCGAGCAAGGGGGGACGGAGCGAAAGCGGGGGCAAAGAAGGGCCAAGGGGGGGGGGAGAAGGAGAGGAGGACAGGAGGATGGGGGGACACGAGGGAACGGTGGACATGGAGCAGCAGGGAAAGACCGGTGGAGGAGGGGATAGACTGCGAGACGGAGCGGGGGGGAGGGGTGTGAAAGGAGCCGAGCCGCGCGGAGCCGCGCGGGCGGCGCGGGCAACGCCGGCGCGAGCGCGCGGCAAAAGCGAGCGCGGAAGCCGAGCGGCGGCGGGCGGAAGAAACGAGCACGAGCCGAGGCCGAGGGAGGCGCGGGGCGTGGTGCGAGCCGGCGCGCTAGCCGTGGAAGTAGACAAAGAGAAGAGAGAAGAGGAGATAAGGAAAATTAGAGATAAAAGAGAAGGGTAAAAAGGAAAACGCAAAAGGAAACGGAAAGCCCGAAAGCGCGCGCGGGGCCGCCGCCGCCGGGGGGGGGGAGAGAGAGGTAGGGGGGGAAGGGTGGACTGGGGGAGGGGTAAAGGGGAAGGATGAGTGTTGAGAGAGTGGAAGGAGATAAGAGGAGAGAGGAGATGGAGAGGAGACGGCGCTCGCGAGCCGGCTGCGACGAGCCACGAGCCGAGGGGAGGAGGCGCGGCGCGGGGCGCGGGGAGGTGGAGAGCTCGCGCGCAGCGCGGGCGAGCGCGAGTGGGGACCGGAGCGCGAGCGCAGCTGGGGACCGAGCCCGCGCAACGAGCGGCGCGCGGCGGCGCGGCGCAGGGCACTCCCTACAACAAGCGAAGGAGAGAGGAGATAGACAGGAGCAAAGCGGAGGAAAGGGATGCAGAAAGGAGAACAGGGAAGACGGGACAGAAGAAGGGCCCAGAAGGGAGGAGTGAAGGAGAACACCCCCCGGGGAAGGGGGGCCACAAGGCGGGCGCGGAAAAACGGGCGAGGAAAACCGGGGGGAAAAACCGAGACAAAAAAGAGGACAAGAGAAAAGAGAGGCAGGCCCGCAGGAAAACGGCACGAGGAAAACCACGGGGGAAAAACCGAGGGGAAGAAAAGAGGACAGAGAGAGGGAAAAACAGAGAGGGGAGGGGGCGCCGCAGGAAAAACCGGAACGGAAGAAAACCCGGGGGAAAAACGGAGGGAAGGGAAAAGAGGACAACCAGAAGCCGGCAGGGCGCAAACCGCAGAAGCGGCAGGAGGGGGGGGGGGGGCCAGGGAAGCAAGGAGGGGGCAACGGGGCCGCAGGGCAGGACGAGAGCAGACGCAGGCGCGGGAAAAACCCACACGAGAAACCCAAGCGGGAGAAAAACGAGGGAGGAAAAGAGGACAGGAGAGGGAGGGAGGGAGGGGGCAAAGAGGGCGCAAGGGGGAGGCGGGGAGGACGGAAGCGGCAGGAGGGACGGGCAAGCGGCCGGAGGGAGGAAGGAAAGGGATGCCCGGGGGGGGGCAAAGAGAGGGCGCAAGGGGGAGGCGGGAGGACGGAAGCGGCAGGAGGGGACTGGCAAGCGGCCGGAGGGAGGCGAGGAAAGGGACGGCCGGCGCCCCCGGAAGAGAACAAGCGGCAAGGGCGACAGAGAGGGCAAAAGGGGAAGAGAGGGAGGGGACAAAGCGGCGGGAGGGGCACGAGAGGAGGGGACAAGAAGCGGAGGGCGCGGCGAGAGCGCAGAGAACAGGGGGGCAACACAAGGGGGAGGGGCCGCAGGGGGAACAGGGAGGGAAAGGCAGGGAGAACCAGGGGGGACGGGGCAGGGCGGGGAGCAAACAAAACAGCCAGGACCCAAGGAGCCGAGGAAAACCGGAGCAGGGGGGCGGACAGAAAGGGCAGGGCGGGGGAGCGCGAAGAGACCGGAGGAGAGGGGAAGCAGGAGGCAAGGACGGCAGGGGGAGGGGGAGCACGAGAGGGGGCGAGCAAGGGCAGCGCAAAGAGGGGGCGAGGAGGGAACGGCGGGGGCGAGAAGGGGCGCCAACGAGAAGGAAGGAAGGGACGGCGAGGCCAAAAAGGGGCCGGAGCGGCGGCAAGAGAGGAGGAGGCAACCGGAGGGGGAGAAAAACAGGACACGGAGAGGCAGAGAGACAGGGGAAAAAGCAGGGGGAGAGGGAGGCGGACGGGGGGAGAGAAAAAAAAGCGGCAAAGAAAAACGCGAGCGGCAAGGCGAGAGAAGACGGAGAGCGGGCACAAGCGGGGAGGGCAAAAGGCGCAGGCGGGAAACAGGAACGGACAGCAGCAAGCGCGGGAGAGAGGGCAGGGAGGGGGACACCAGCAAGCGGGACGGAGAGAAGAAAGAAGAAAGAAGGGCAGGAGCAACCCGGGAGCGAGCACACAAGGGGACAGAGGAGGCCGGCAAGGAGGAGAGGAACGCCAGGCGCAACCCGGGAAAGAGGAAAGAAGGACACAGAAGAAGACGGAAAGAAAGCCGCAGGGCGAGAAGGAGGAAGCCAGCAGGGAGGGCGCAAAAGAAAGGGAACGGCAGAGCGAAAGGGAGGAGGCGGCCAAGGGGAGGAGGGAGCGGAACGGAAGGCCAGGGACCGGGGGAGAGGAGAGGGGAGGAAAAGCAAGGAAGGGGCGCGGCGGGAACCCAGAGGCGACAAACGCGCGGCGAGCACCGCAGGAGGCGGAGGGCGCGGGCAGGCACACACCCAGGGGGAACCGGCAGGGGGAACGCGCAAAGGGGGGAGGGGGAGAAAGAGAAGGAGGCAGGGGAGCGAGGCGAGCGAGGCCGGAAGGGCGCCGGGAGAGAGGAAAGAGGCAGGGCACGGCGGGGGCCGAACGCGGGAGCCAGAGGAGCAGAGAACGAGCAAGGGGGAAGGGCAAGGGGGGGGCGACAACGAGAACCGGGGGGAAAACGCCCAGAGGGGGAAAAGGAAGGGCAAGGGCGAAAACAACCAGAGGCGAAACAGGGCCCAAAGAGAGGGGGAGCGGGGCGGGCCGCAGCCCGAGGAGGACGGGGGGGGGGGGCACCGAGAAGGCGGACCAGGGGGGGCGGCAGCGGGACGAACGGCGGCAGGACAGAAGGAGGCAAGCGAGGGCAAGAGGGACAAGAGGGCGGGACGAGAGCGAGGAGGAGGAGCCAGAGCGCGGGCACCGAGAGAGCGCCGACACGGCGAGGGGCAAGGAGGAGCGAGAGAGAGGGGGGGGCCAAGGAGAGAGGACCGAGGCACGGCGGGGAGGAGCAGGAGGAGCAAGAGAGGGAGGGGCAGAGGAGGGGCGAAAAGCGCAAAGAGAGGAGCGGGGGAACGGCCAGGGCAAGCGAACGAGGACAGGGAGGGAAAGAAGGAAGAGGGGGGAGGCGGAGGAAAGGGCGGGGCAGGCCAAAAAGCGACGGAGGAGGAGAGGAGCGCCCCCGAAGGCCGAGAAACAAGCGGCAGGAGGAAGGCAGGCAACGGACCCAAGGAGAGGGAGGGAGCCCCGAGCAGGGGCGGGCGGAGGAAGCAAGAGACGGAGGGGCGGGGAGAGCCCGGGGAGAGGGACGGGGGGGGGGGAGAGAAAAGAGACGGCGCAAAGAAAAGAACGCAGAGAGGGAAAGGGGACGGCGGAAACCACGGACGAGGGGAAAAAGGGGGGAGAGCAAGCCGGGAGGGAGGAGGGGGGAGAGGCAGGGAGGGAGACGGGGGAAAAAGAACGGGACGCAGAGGAACGGCAGAGCAAGCCGGCGGGGAGGGAGGGGAGAGGGGGACCAGGGGGGGCAAGAAGGCAGCGGCAAGGGCAGCCGAAAAGGAGGACGGAGAGAAGGAAAGCCGGAAGCGACCGGCGGGGCAAAGAAAGAGACAAAACAAGGAGGGCGAGAAAGGGAAAGAGCAGAGGCCCAAAGCGCAGGGCAAAGAGGGGCGAGAGCAGAAACGAGCACGGGAAACAGGGCAGAGCCGGGAAGAGGAGCACAGGCAAGCGAAGGGGGAGCAACGACAGGGGCAACCGAACCAGAGGGAGAAGGCAGGCGAGGGCCGCACGGAGAAGGGGGGGGAGGAAGCGCAAGAGCGAGGGCCGAGAGCAAAGCAGAAAGGGCCAACAAGAGAAAGAACAAAAGCGCGGAGAGGAACAGAAGCAAGAGAGGAGAGGCGAAAGGGGGCAAGGAAAGAGAAGCACAGGCAAGAGGGGAGAGAAGGGGCCCGGAGGGCGGGGACACCAAACGCGCAAGGGAGGCAGGCACAGCCAGAAAGAAAGAGGAGCAGGGGGACACACAAGGCAGGACAGGACAAGAGAGAGGGGAGGAAGGCAGAAAGGAGAAAAAGGAGAGAAGGACCGGGCGCCGAAGAAGAAGGAGCACAGGGGGCGGCCGGGCCCAGGCAGGCCGAGGGCGGGGAGGCAAAAACAGGACGGGGCCAAGCAAGCGCGCAGGGGAGGCAGAGGGGCAGAGCAAGCAGGAAAACAGCACAAAAGAGCAAGAGAGACAAGCGGAAAACGGCAGAAAAGGGGCAGAAGGGGGACCGGGAGGGCAGAAGGGGCGGGGGGAAAACGGGAACACAGGGGGACACAAAAGGGGGCAGAGAGGGAGGGCAGCAAGGCGAGAACGGACAGAAAAAGGGGCAGGGCAAGCCAAGGGGGGAAGGAGGGGGCCGAAAGGGGCACAACAGGGCGCCAGGCAGAAAAAGAAGGGCAGCACACGGCCAAAACGGGACAAACCTGGCCCCCGACTCCTCTAGCTTCTGTGTCTTGTTTGGCGGTTCCGCATACCCGTTGCCCCTTCTTTGCCCCCTCCCCCCTCTTCCGCCCCCTCGTCTCCTTCTCTCTCCCGTCTCTGTTGGCCTGGCCTCGCCCTTCATTAGCCTTTCTCCCTTATCTTCTCCCGCGCCTTCATCACTCCTCTTTTTTTCCGTGGGTCCCCTCCCCGTGGTCTTTCCCATCCCGCCTTTGGGGTCTGGGCCTCCCGTTTCCCCGGTTGCCGCGTCGCCCCTTTGCGCGTCCCTGCTCGTGTTTTCGTCTGCCCTCCTCCGGCTTGGTGTCTCCCGGTGTTCCCCTCTTCCTTCCGCAGTGCTGCCTCCACTCTCCTTCCCCGGGCCCCCCCCGTCGTGGTCTGGCTCCCCCTCCTCCCGTGACTTCGCCCTCGCCGTCCTCTTTCCTCCTTGCTCTCTCTTTTGTCTTTCTCACGCAGTCCCCCCCCCCTTTTCCGCTGCGTTTCACTTCTCGCGTGCTCGGCCCCGCGCGCGGCTGTTTCCGTTTCCGTCCCCGCCCCCCACCCCTTGTCGTGCCCGTGTCCCCCCTTGCGCTCCCCTCCCGTCCCTGCTCGCCCTGCCCCCGTCCCGCTTCCCTGCCTTTTTTTGTTTCTTCTGCCTTGCTGCGGCCTCCCGCCTCCTGGTTTCCCCTTCCTTCCTTCGCCCCCTGCATTTCTTTCTCTTTTGGTCCTGCTTCTCGCGCCCTCGGCCCCCTGGCCTCCCTCTGCCTGCCATTGTTCCTGTTCTCTCGTGCCTTGTGCGCCTCTCCCCCTCCCCTCTTTCCTCTGTCCTCTGTCTCGTCGCCTCTCCCTCCCTCCTCTCCTACCCCCTCTCCCCTCCTCTCTGTCCCCCTCCCCTCTTCCCCTCCCCTCCCCCCCCTCTTCCCCTCCTCCCCTCTCGTCTCCTCCTCCGGCGCCCCCGTCGTTGAGCCTCTCCTGTGTCGCCCCCCTTTGCGGGTCCCCTTTTTTCCTCACCTCCCTGAGCTGCCGCTTGACTCCGCTTTCTTTTTCCTTCACGCTTTCCTCCTTTCTCCTTCCTGCTCTCTTCCCGTTCCCTTTTTTCGTTCCCTCTTCTCTTTTCCGTTCTTTCTGTTCGTTCCCCGTTCCTCTTCCTCTTGCTTTCCCTTCCCCCCGGTCTTCGGTTCCCCTCCTCCTCCCTCCCACTTGGCCCTCCTTACGTCCTCTCTTTTTCCTCTCTTCCCTTCCCCTCTCACTCCTTTCGTCGCTCCCCCACAACCTCCTCCCTCTGCCTTCTTTCCTTTCGCCTTCTGGCGGTCGGTTCTCCCCTGTCTTTCTTCCCACCACTTACTTCCTTCTCCTCCTGCCCTAACACGCGCCTCCTTTCTTCGTTTTCTCTTGTTCGTCCCTCGCTTTCTGATGTGCCTTCATGCCGCTTGTTCCCCGTCTGTCCCGCGCTGCCTTATTCTCATCTTCTTCTCTCTCTTTCTTGTCTCTCTGTCTCTCTCGCTCCTTGTCCTCTTGCTGCCGCTCCGGCCTCCGCTGCCCTGTCTTCCCTCCCCTTCTTGTCTTCCATTCTTCTTGTGCTGTGCTTCTCTTCTCTGCTTTCTTGCCCCCGTTTCTCCGTCCTGGCTCCTCCCTCCGTCCTCCTCGTGCCTGGCCCCCGCCTGGCTCCGTCGGTCGTCTCTGTGTTTCTTCCCTCCCCGCCCGCCTTTTATGTTGGCGCTGCTGCTTCCGCCTCCTGGTGCCCGCGCTTTTCTCCCCCGGCCCCGCTTGGCCCCCGGGTGTCCTGCCCCCTCGCTGCCTCTTCGTCCGCCGCCTCTCCCGCCCGGCCCTTCGCCGGCGCTTCCCCCCGCCCCGCTCGTGCTGGCAACCGCTCGCCGCTCTGCCCTCCGTCGTTGCCCGCCCTGCTGCGGCGTCGTCGCGCGCCGTCCGTCCGCTGCCCGCTGCCGTCCCCTCTCCGCCCGCTGTCGGTCGCCGGACTTCTTCGGGCCGCTCGCGCGCGTTCGCGCGGCAGGTCCCGGCGCCCTTGGCGGCGCGCGCCGTCTGCTTCCCTTGCCTGGCCCGGTTCGCCTTCCCGGTGCTGTCCGCCTGCGCGCCCCTGCCGCGTCGCTTCTTCTGCCTCTCTCGGAGCTCCCTGCTCCTCCCCCCCCTCCCCCCTTGTCCCCTTCTGTCGCTCTTTTTCGCCTTCCTTACTCCCTCTCCTCTCCCCCCCGCCCCTGGAGTCTCCCTGGCCGTGGCTCCCCCGCTTTGCGCGCTGCCCTTCTGGGACCTCGCCCCGGTTGCACCGGGTTTGGTCCGCCCGGTCCGCCCCCCTGCTTGGTTGGTTGCCCTGCCCGCCCCTGCTGCCCCCTTTTTGGAGTTTTTCCCTTTCTGCGCTGCCCCTCGCTCTCTTCTGTGCTTTGCTCCGGCTCGCTGCCCCCTGCTTCTTGCTCTGGCTCTTGCCGCTTTCTGCTCTCGCGCCTCCCCTCCTGCTGGGCCTTCCCCTTTTCCTCTCCCCCGTTTCCCGCCGCCCCGTCGCCCTTGCCTTTCCCCCGTGTCGCCCGCGCCTGGCTCTGTCCTCCGGCCTGTCCGCTGCGGCCCTGGCTCCTGTGCTTGCTTCTTGCTTTCCGGCGCCCGGTTCCCTTCGCCCCTCCCCCCCCCGTTCCTGCCTTATCTCGTCTCCGGGGCCTGCTGCCCTCCGGCCCTCCGCCCCCCCTTCCCTTTGCGCCTGGCTCTGCTGGCCGCCCCGGCCTTGCGCTGGGGCCCCTTTTGGCTCCCGTCACCTCTCTGCGTTGCTCTTCCCTGCCCTGGCTTGTGGCTTGTCCCGCGACCTGCCGCTCCCTGCCTGCCCCTGCCCCCGCCGCCCCTCTCTGGCCTCTCGGTGCGGTGCGGATCTCGTCCTTGTCCCCCCCGTTTCCGCCCTGTGTCCTCTGCTTCCATTTGGTGCGTCCCTGTCTTGCGCGCGCTTTGGTGCCTGCCCCCTGGGGCTCCTCCCCGGCTTGCCTTCGCCCGGCCAGTCCGTTTCTGCTCCGTCGGCTCGTTCGGGCCTCTTTTCTCTGCCCCCCGCTTGCCGCCCTGCCTTTTGCGTTCTGCCCTTCATCGGCCCAGCCCGCCCTTCGACGCTGCCCTCCGTCTTTGCTTGCCCCCCGCCTGTCGGTGCTCCTTCCTCTGTTGACTCTGCTTTCCCTCCTTCCTTGCCCCCTGCCGCTCCTCCCCCTCGCCTCGGCCCTGGCCTCACCTCCTCCGCTGCCGCCCCATTGTGCCCCCGCGCCGTTCTCCCCCCCCGCCTGCTTGCCCCCCACTAGCATCCCCCCCTTCCCCTCCCTTGTGCGTTTCGCCTTCCCTGCTGCTTGGCACTGTTTTTCGCCCCTCCCGCGCCTTGTTCGTTTGCTCCTTCGCCTTGGCTGCTGACGCCGTGCCACTGGTGGGCGCTGCCTCTCTTCCTTCTTCCTGGCGTCCCCCTGGAGGCCGGCCTTCTTCCCCTCTCCCTTGCGTGCCTTGCCTCCTTTCCCCGCCGCCCCCGCCCGCCCAGGTCTTCTCGCTGTGATTTTTGCCTCCGTGGGCTCCCGGTGTCCCTGATCATCATCCACCCCCCACGTTTTGAGTCTCCCCTTTCGGCCTCCCCTCTCGCTTTGCCTTTCCACTGTTTTCCTCTGCCTTCTCTTTCCCACTTTTCGCCCCCTTCCACTCCCCTGGCTTGCTTGGCTTGGGGCCGGGTGCTGCGTTCCCCGGTCTTGTTTGCTTGCCGCGCCTCCCTATTCCTTGCCCTGGCCCGTTTCCCCGTCGGGCGGCGGCTTCCTTGTCTGTCTTTGGCGTTCCGTCCCTTCCCGCCCTTTCACGGCCCGCCGTTTGCCTTTTGGGACGTCGCCTCTCCTCTGCCCTCCTGCCGCCCCGTGTGCGGCGCGGTTCTTTTGCTGGGCCGCCTGCTAGCTGTCCTGGCCGGTCTGTGGGTCTCCCCCTTGTCTCGTGGCTCTCCTGCTCTGCGTGCTGCGGTGGTTCCGTCTGCTTTCGCGTCCCCTCTCTTCCCTCTGCTCTGTTGTGGCCTTTTCCGCTTCCCCTGCTTTGGGGTTCGTCTGGGCTTGCGCGGGATGGTGCTTTCCTCCTGGCGGGCCTTTTTGCTGTGCCGTTTCCTCTGCCCGTGCTTCGGGTTCGCTTTCGTCGCCTCCTGAGCGGGCTGGGCCCTCTGTGTCTTTGCCTGGTGTTTGGCTGGCTCCTTCGGGCCCCGTCGTTTTCCTCGCCCCCCCCCTCCTCTTGCGCCGCTCCCCTTCCTTTCGTTGGTGTCCGTCCTCCCGCTATGTCCCCCTTCCCCCCCTTGGCTCTCCCCCCCCCCTCCCCTTCCTGGCCCTTGTGGGCCCTTTTGAGGCTTGTGTCCCTCCCCCCGTCGCCTTTTTCCCCCACCCGGGGCCCCGCCCCCCCCGCTTTCCGCTGGCTAGCCCTGCGAGCCTTTCCCCAGCTTGCTCTGGTCTGGCCTTTTCCCTTGCCGGGCCTCCCCGGGCTTCCTTGTTGCTGCTGTCCCCCGCCTCGTTTCGGCTCCCGTCCCCCCGCCGCCCTCTGCCCGGCCTGCCCTTGTTGCCCCTTTCGTCGCGTATCTGCCCCCCTCGGCTCTGTCCCCGTGTTTCCTCTCTCCCCCCCTGTTTTGTTTGCGCGTGTGTCCGCGCCCTGCCCTTTGCTGGAGCTGCTTTCCTTTCTCTTGCTGCGCCTTTGTACCCTTTTTGCCCGTCTTGCCCCTTCTCCGCTCTGCTCCCCCTCCCCTTCTTCCCCCTTGTGTCGCTCCTCAGGTCCCGCCCTCTATGCCCAGTCCCCTGCCTCCTGTTTTCCTCTCCTCCCGACCGGCCCCCGTCCCTTCCTGTGCTCTCCCCCCCGTTCGCCCGTCCTGCCATGGTCCTCTCTGGGTTTCCTGGTCCTCTCCTGTCCTGTGCCCTCTGTCTCTCTCCCCGCCCATCGCCGTCGTGTTCTGCATGCGCCCCGGGCCCTCTCTTTTGTTTGCGCCCCTGGCCTCTCTCCCTGCCTTCTCTTCTTGCTCTCGTCTGCCTTCTCCCTTGCCCCTCTTCTTTTGCCTTGCGCCGCCATGCCCTCGCCTTCCCTGCCCTCAGCTTTCTCCCCCCCTCCCTTTTGCTTTGCCCTTCTGTCCTCCGCTCCCCACGCCCCCCCGTGCCTCCGGTCCGCTGCCCGCCTTCTCCCCTCGCTGCCCCTCCTCTTCCCCGCCTTGCTCCCGCTGCTGCTATCTCCGCTGCCCTGTCCCTTTCCTTTCGCCCTCTTTCTCCTTCCCTTCCCCGCGTGCCCTCCGGCCCCCCCGGTCCGTTCTCTCCTCTCCCCCTTCCTGTGGTGTGCTGGCCCTTTCCTGTCCCTTCGCCGTATTCCCTCCCTCCCTTTCTTGCTCTGCCGTCTGTGCTGCTGGCCTCCCTGTGGTCCGCCGCCCCCCTTGCCGTTGGCTTCCTCCCCTCCTCTGCCTCCCCTTGCTTCCCTTCGCCTATTCCTCCTTCTGGCCCCCTTGTGCGCTCGTGTCCTCTGTGGCTGTTGCGTGTCGTCCTTGGATCTGTTCCCTCTCTTTGCCCTCCTGTGTGGTCCCTCCGGAGGGGGGGGACGGTCCCCGCTCCGCCCGTCTGTCCCGTCCCGCCCCCGTCCGTCCCGCTTGTTCTTTGCTCCCCTTCGCGTCCCCCTTGCTCCTCGTCGCTGCCTTTCGCAGCCCCTCTGTCTCCTTGGCTTGCGCTGCGCCGCCCTCTTGCCCTTCTTCTTGTGTTGCCGCCCTCCACCCCGCCTCACTCCCCGTCCCCGGCTCCTCCTCTGCTCTGCGCTTGGTCGCGCTCCCTGTCCCTGCGTCCCCCCCCTCCCTCTCCCTTGTCTGTCTGTCGTTTCTCTCGCCGTCCTGCTTCCTATCCCCTGCCGCTGGCCGCGGATCTGTCTCCTCTCGCTTCCTCCCGCGCCCCTTCCGTTCGCCCCCTCTGCGGCCCGTGGTGCTGCTTTCTTTTGGCTTGCTGCCTTTCCGGCTTGCCCCACTCTGGCCCCGCCTCTGTCTGCTTCCCTGCCTCGCCGCCATTCCCTGTCTTCCCTGCTCCTTTCTGTCTTCCTCTTCCCCACACCCGGTTTGCGCCTCGTGACCGCGCTCGCCTTCTTCCCGGTTGCCCCTTTCTTCGCCTCTCTTCCCCTCGGGCACCCTTCCCTCCTTCCCCTCCGGTGATTCGCCCCCGTCGTTCGTCCCGCCCCCTTTTTCTTGGCTCGCGCGCCTTCCATTCTCTGGCCCCCGGGTGCTCATTTCTCTCGGTCCCGTGGTCGCGCCTCCCGCCTGCGCTCGTTCGGCTGCCCTCCTCCGGCTTGCGGCTCCTTCGCTCCCCGGCCGCGTTTTGTGCTGCTTGTCGGTAGCGCCGCCGGCGCTCCTGCCGGCGCTGCACATATCCATGTCTCTTGGCGCCGTCCTTGGGGAATCCGCCTGCTTTGTTGTCCTGTCCCGCCCTGCCTCTCTCGCGCCTGCTCCCCTCCCCCTGGCGCCCTGCCCGGCGCCTTGGCGGCCGGCCGCGCCCGTCCTGTCCCTTGCCTGGCGCGTCTCCTCCCGGTTGTTCGGCCTGCGCGCCCCTGCCGCGCGCCCAGCTCTTCTGTTCTCTCGGGCAGACCTCCCTGGCTCGCTCCCCCCCCACTTCCTCCCTTGTCGCCTTCTGTCGCTCTTTTTCGGCTCCTTCTCCCTCTACCTCGCGGGCGCCGTCCCTCCCTCTGCTCTGTCCCCCCCCCTTCCGGCTCCCGCTGCCGCGCCCTTCTGGGCGCTCCCTGTTTGGCCGTGCCGCTTCTGGGCGGCCCCCTCTTGCTCTCCCCACCCCTCCCTGCCTCTCCACGGCCGTGGCCTGCCTTCCTCTCTCGGTTTTTTTTTGGGTTCTCTTGAAGCCTCATTCTTTTCCTCGCCGCTTCTGCGCCCCACCCCCTTCTCTTGCGCTGCCTGCGCTCCGCTCCCTTCTTTCTGCTGCTTCTTTCCTCGCTTTCCGGCGCCACTTCTTCTCTGCTCTCTCTTCATGCTGCCCCCCCTTCTCTGCCCTTCGGCTCCGCCCTGCTTCAGCCGTCTTCTCTTTCCCTGTTTAGCAGCCTCGCTCCTTGCGTTTCTTGCTGATGCTTGCCCCTTCTGCCGATATCTCTGCCCTCCTTGCATGCCCCTCGCCTCGCTCTCTCTCTGTCTTGCTCTGGTCGCCTCCCCCTCCCTGCCCTGTCTATTTGTCTGTAGTCTGTCCGACTCCGCCCGCCCCCCCGTCTGCTCCCTTCTTCCCCAGCTGTCGTCTCCTTGGCTGTAGCTCCTTGCTACCTCTTTCTCCCCCTGCTGTTGTCGTGGTGCGCCGGTTTATTGTGTCACTTACTGCCCTGTCTCCAACCGCGGGTTGCCCCCTTCCCTTCCGTCCCTTTCTGGCCCCCCCCCCCGTGCTTTCTATCTAGGCCATGCTCCCCTTGGCTCTTCGTTCGCGCTCCGCCTTTCGTCTTCGTGCCAACCCCTGTGGCCCTGCCTTTGCCTCCCCCTTCCCGTCCCTCTCCCTCTTTTCTTGGCGCGCTGCCGCCTCCGCCGCTTGAGTCTGCTTCTGGACCCGTGTCTGCTTTCGCTTGTGCCCCCCGCGCCCGGGCTCTCGTCTCTTCTGTTGGCGCTCGGGCGTCGCGGCTGCTGCTGCTTGCGCGTCCTAGCGTCGCGGTCTGTTCCTCGTAACCTCGTGCGCGCTCCTTGACCTCGTCCCCTGGAGCCCCATTCCCGTTGCGCCCGGCTCCGTTGCCTCCCTTCGCTGTCCTTCCCCCTCCGGCGTTGCAGCACCCTTCCTCTTGGCCACGGGCTTCCTTGCCTACCTTCGCCCTGTCCTTCCCCTCCGCGTCCCCTTCGCGTGGCCCTGTCGTGTCCCCCACTCCCCCTGGGGGCCCACCCGCGTCCCAACCCCCCCCCCCCCCCCTCTCTGCCCTGCTTGGTTTGCCTGCCGCCCCCCCCTTGTGCCTTTTTTTCCCCGCTCCTCCTTGCCTGCCCCTTCTGCCCGGCGCCGTTTGCCCCTTCCCTTCGTGCCCCCTCCCTTGATTGCCCTCCTTTTGGCCTGCCCTTTTTTTCTGGCGCCCCTCGCCTCGTGTCTTTGCTGCTCTGTCCCCCTCTTTTGTTCCCCTCTGCTTTGGTTGTTTCCGGCCCCTC